CGAAGGGCAGGCGTTACTGAGCTATGCCACACAGTTAACAACCCTTCTTATATATAGGCCCTTTTTATGGCAAACGCCAGGAGATGGTGCTCCAGTCTTTGACGTCCCAAAGAACTTCCGGCTCATAAAAAGAATTAACAAAGGCCACCTTAACTCTGCTGCTCAAAATGTACAGGGTGAAACAAGGAGACGCCAGGCTCTTTATATCGACTGCAAAATTCGGTTTCTTAACCTATCGCGCTACGACTTTGTGTGGCGTTGCCCACAGATGGTGCAATTTTTTTGTGAAATTTGCAATGAGCGAACTTACCTGAGGAAAAAGTAAAGAAAGAAAAAGGCTTAGCTCCTATGGAAACGCAGCGACACCACCGGTCTTAAAAAAACACAGCGCCGTTTTGCAAGGGAGGCAAGAGATGGCGCAAGCGGTCGCGACGCCAACTGCCGCCAACGAACGAGCATACGGCGCCGAGAGCCGGCGTCTTTAGCAGACAAGGAGCTGCAGTTCCTTGCTGTTACGGCGCCTGTTTTAGATGCGGAGCATCTCTTGCTCGGGTATATGTCCCGCGGCGTCGTAGTCCGCACTCACACTACGCATGCGCAACTCTCCTCCTTCCCTCTCTCCAACAGCTGTGCGTTACTCTCTCCGCTCTCTCTCTCTACCAGCTGCGTGCACTTCACGTGCGTTCGCTTCTACTCGCACCGCACGCGCATGCGCAACTCTCCTTCTCTAGTCTCTTCTCCTTCAAGTGTGAATATAACCAGCGGTAGCGCGACAGGGGAAGTGGCCGAGTGGGCTAACGCGTCTCAGCTCGGAGCGTGGAGCGAAAGCTTCCGCTGGGAACCTCCTGGGTTCGATCCCCGCCGCCCCCGCCCGTTTCGATCTGGATGAGTTTCGTACCGGCATGCGTCCGTGTGATCACTACTGCGTGATGCACGTTAAAAACCCCAGGTTAGCGGTTGTACTGCACTGGCTAAATTTCTCATCTACAGCTAAGAGACCGATTACCCGTTGAGACGCATCTCCATCAAGGCTGTATAAACATAAAGAGCAAACCAATTTCTGCGCGCGTTCAGTTCACCGCTGTTGACTCCACTTCACTCCGTTCTTCCGATGAAGTGTGATGGAACGATGCTCCGCATCACCCCATGGTTCCCCTCGGGAAGATGGTGTAATTTTTTGTTTCTGCGACTGTCGCCGCCTGCGGAACGTGCGCCGCTTTTGAGTCGAAAAGATTGTCTGCTGAAGACGCCGGCTCTAGGCGCCCGATGCTCGTTCGTTGGCGGCGTTCGTTGCACCATCTCTTGTCTCCCTTGCGAAACGGCGCCGTGTTGTTTGAAGACCGGTGGCGTCTCTGCGTTTGCATAGGAGCTAAGCCTTTTTCTTTCTTTACTTTTTCCTCAGGTAAATTCGCTCTTTGCAAATTTTACAAAAAAAAAAAAAAAGAAGCACTGTGGGCAACGCTGCACAGAGTCGTAGCGCGATAGGTTAAGAAACCGAATTTTGCGGTCGATTTAAAGAACCTGGCGTCTCATTGAATCACCCAGTAGATTAAACATTTAACCACCAATTTCCCAGGTCTCCCCAAGCCTCTATTGTCCCCACCCTATTCCACACACACCACACAAGCAAACACCCATGCGTACCCAGGGTCAGTAACAACAGGGGTATCAAGTCCCAAACTACCTCCGGTCAAAAGAACGAAGGGGTGCGAGATCTGTTAAAACGTTTCGAGCATTCTTGTAAACCATCTGCTCGGAGGCGAGTATTTTTTGGTGTGCTGCGATCCTTGTGTCGGGTATTTGGAGATCAAATCAGTATTTGTGAAACGTTCAAACGCCGATTAAAAAAATCAAACGTACCGGAGCACCTACGGCTGAGCTGGCAAGCTTGCTCTCGTAGTAGAGTAAACAAAGGAACTTGCCGCCAGTGATGCCATCCTCGGGGAAGCCCAGAAGTTGATGAATGACAAAGAAGTTCCATCTCGACAGCAGCATTCCGGGAGTGAGCGAATTTCGCGTAGCAAAGCTTTCGAGCTTGTCGTCTGCTAAACCCAACTCAATGAAACCGCCACCGACTCCGCGGTTACTCTAGGTAACTCTCGCCTCATTGAGCTGCACTACAGCAGAGTCTCTCTCGACCACAAAGTATTTATTTATAAGAACTGCGAGGGCTGTCAGTTTTAATGTTTGTACGCAAGCTATTTGACGGGCTTATCGAAAAGCATCCAAAACGTTTCAGTGCCGACAACAGCTTAGAAACGGGGAAACGGCACTTTTTCTCGTTCTTCCCATAGAGTCGTATGCATTGGCCGGTGTCAATGGCCGCCGGTGGCGACACTTGGCCCCAGCTGCCGAGGCCGCGGTCCGCCATCCAGCCTTCTACAATAGAGATCAATGCCCACTGCGCGCGGGCACTGAAAAGGAAAAAAAATTGCCCATAATAAAATACCGTCGTAACATTGTCTAGTGCCATTAAATAAGCTATGCTCATTTTGTGGCTCTATCACTTTCAATGCCAAGAGCTCGTGCCGGGAGATGCGCTTCCACGCGCTTAAAAAAAAAAAAAAAGAGAAGCGTTGGGAACAAGATGGTGAGATGTATATTTTTTTCCAAAAGCTTTTCTTCATGCACCCCAGGGTGCGTGAACGCGACGCCGACGCCCAACGATTTTGCCATAACTAGGGGGTGTCGCGAACCGGCCGAGGTTCGAGTTCGACCAGGTTTGACTTTTTCGAACTTATAGTGCAAAATTCGACGAACCTTGTATTGAGGTTCGATTTGTGTGCGCATGCGCGACAGGCTGGCCAGTTGGCTTCGGTGATGGCTAAGGGATGAATTAAGGGAAGCGTTGACTGGCTATTTCAGTTAATACAGCACAAAAAATTAAGTTATTAACTTCTTAAATAATTAGAATAATACTACAGGAATAATTCTAAGCGGGATCTACTGAAAGTACAAAATTGTTCCATTTATTTTTATTATTTATTAAACCTCAAATGCCCCAAGTAAGGGGTATTACATAAGGGTAGTACGAAACATAAAAAAATTTCTTCGATGAATGCCTTGAAATGGGCGGAGTTGGAGTGGAGCACGGCGTCGGTGGGCAGATCGTTCCAATCCTTTGCTGTCTGGCAGAAAAAAAGATGCGCAGTGCAGTGGGCCGGGGGGGGGGGGGGGGGGGGGGGGGGTTAGACAGCTTCCTGATGACTGATGCGGCATGAAACGCGGTGAGCTGGTGCGATAACAGAGCTGCCAAGTGATGAGTGATAAAACTTGTGAAAGGGGTAGAACCTGGAAATTTGGTGCCGTGATTCGAGGTTAAGAAGATTATCTTGAGATTTAAGTGCGGTGACACTGCTATGATAAGAGTAGTCTGAGTAGATGAATCTTCCTGTGCTTGCACAGTTTCGAGTGTTTTAGTAAGATTAGATTGATGTGGGTACCAAACAGCAGATGCATATTCTAGTTTGGGTCGGACCAGTGAGAGGAAAGATAGTAGCTTTACCGATGGAGGGGCTAAGCGTAGGTTGCAACATAGAAAGCCAAGGACGCGATTCGCGTCATTAGCTATGTTCGTTATGTGAGATGACCAAGTTAAACCGTTTGAAAAGGTAAAGCCTAGGTATTTATATGAAGGTACAGGAGATATGAGTGAACCACAAATTACATAGTTAGGAGATGGGTAAAATTGCCTACGATGAAAAGAAACGAGCGATGTTTTGTTATCATTCAAAGACATAAGCTGTCTAGCATACCAGGCGTCGATATGGTGAATATCAGACTGCTCGGCGTGAACGTCAGTGCTGTTTTTTATAGGACGATAAACAACGCAGGTCGTCTGCGAATAAGCGTATGTTAGATGAAATATTAGCAGGTAGGTCATTTATGTAAATTAGGTAGGGGACCGAGAACAGTGCTCTGGGGCACTCCAGAAGCAACCGGTGATCGAGGCGAAGAGTGGTTATTAGCATGAACGAATTGTTGTCGGTTTGACAAGAAGTTACGAATCCAGTTACAGACTTGAGGGTCAAGGTTTAAACGCGAAAGTTTTAATAAGAGACGTTGGTGAGGAACTTTATCGAAAGCTTTTTCGAAATCTAGAAAGAGGGCATCCACACATATGTTATGATCAGCACTTGAACTTAGACCGTTAGTAAAAAGAGCAAGCTGGGTTTCACACGAAAATCCTTTTAGGAAACCATGTTGCCTCGTGTGAAGTAAATTAACAGATACTAAGAATTTTATAACATGCGAGTAAATTATATGTTCGGATTCATTAATTTTGATGGAACACTGGTGATTGAAATGGGACGATAAGTGCTGCTTAAGTTCGGTGGACGTTTTTTTTGGTATGGGAACGACCTTGCTTACCTTCCAGTCCAGTGGTACCACTCGAGATGAGAGAGATTTCTGAATAATGTGTGACAAAAAGACGCTTGTGGCACTTTCTGGGTTTTTTTAGTATCTTTGAATTGATGCCATCAACACCTGCGGATTATGTTAGTTTCAAAGCTTCGATTGCTTTTAGGACTCCATTAGAATTAAAGTTTATGTAGGGCATAGCCGGGAGATCAGAATAAGAAAATTCAAGGAGATCGCCGGCTTGTTCTTGCGTAAAAACAGAACAGAAGGAGGAGTTCAATGTTTGGGGAATGTCATGTTTGGGAATGGGGGGGGGGGGGGGGGGGGGCGAGTTGTTCTGATCCCATAATGATATGGGCTTTGATTGACCGGGGTTGATCATTTTCCAAAATTGCTTGGAACTGCTATGCAACATCGCGGGCAAAGTAGACGAAAAAAACGTGCTTTTGGCTTGAGCAGCAAGAGAGTCAAATATTTTTTTCGGTAGCATTGTATTTATCCCATGCCCGCGTGCTGTTCGACAGTTCAGCTGATCTAAACTAAACTTTAAAGTACAGCTACTACTGAATGCTCTCTTATTTTATGGCAGTTCTGGTTCCCTAGCCTGCCTAGTGAATCTCACGACGTTGTTTTTGCAGGACGCATATCCCGTTGTGACCAGTAGATCACGTGGGACTCGGATCGCGGATCCGGAGCAATCTGGTCGACGACACTGCAATGGCGTCCTCTGCGTCCACTTCAACGGCGTCCATCGAACCTGCTGTGCCCACCAACTGGACTGGCGACAAGGCTAAGTCTTCCACGGCCGCACCGCAGGCTCTAGACACTCCAATGGTTCCCACGATGAAAACGGATATTGGCCTCAAGGCGACGCACGGTGGATGTGGCTTCACGTTTTCCTCACGGACTAGCCAACTGTTCCGATGGCGGTGCGACAATTCCAACTGCAGAGCAATGTTGAAAACGGGTCTCTTAAATGGCCAACACTACTTGATCCATTTTGTGCCTCACGACGAAGAGGTGCACAGGCGCGGTTCTCCTTGTCCTCCTGGAGGTGGTGCTCAGACCCCGTGCACTCCGCGCGATGGTCCAAAGCGCAAGGCGGACTCCTGCGCGGACAAGGTAAAAATATGGCGCCTTCCTGAATGCTCCTTGCAATGTAGACCATTTTCAAAAGTCCACGAAGCGACGTTGGCGGTTTCCATTGCTTGGGCATGATGCGCCTGATTGGTTCCGAGTTCACGCCGAACGATGACGTAGCCCTCGTGCTCAATCCATGCTCAGGGTGAGCAAGCAATGGCAGACAGGCGTTGGCGCCGACTTTTGAAATGTGTCTATGGTGGAACAGGAAACATCGCAACAAGGGCGTTTGTTTCCAGATACGTATGGGTGGAAACCAATATTGTATGTATTATAGACTTCTGCGCACGCTTATGCGCAATACTCTCACATCTATCGGAAGAGGGTCTACGAGAGAAATCTCAAAACGATTTCATCGCTTTGGTTGTTTGGTTAAAAGGAACCTCTGGCTAAACATTTGGTAGTCGCGGATTTTTCTAAAAATTAGTTCACCACATAAAAGGGGTACAGAAACAAAATGACACGGCCGCGAGCTCTCTACCTCTCGCTTCAAAATCGGCCAGCGAGAAGCGCACGGCGTATTGCGCTCGTGACGTTGAGGGCCTCTGCTCTCTGAAGGGTACTGTAGTTGCGAGCATTGCAGCTTGTTGGCGTCAGCGCGTGACAATCTCGCCCGGTAGTAATATTTGAGGACTGGACTCTGTCGTCATTCGCGGCCATGCCGGTCTTTTATGTGCTGCAAGTGTTCGGTTCACTGTGTTTGTTTCACACCGCACACACGAATGGTGACACCTGCAAGCTATGTAGTCAAGGTTTTTACTGGGTGCCATACTTGAGCACGTTATTCACGAGCGCAGGGGGGGGGGGGGGGGACATGGGGAGGAGGGAGGTATATGTTACGGTTGACCTGGCAGAGGTCCCGCATTCTCAGATCAAGCTTCTACCTCTCGTCTGCTAACAACGGCGATCTTGATGGTGTGGAATGCACGTTACGGAAGCGATGTGGATCTCTTCGCCAAGGTTGGCGATTCCGTTCAAGCCCGACTTGTCTCTACATTTACGCTGTACTTCCTTGTGTGGCACTGGGGCAACAGGCCTTCAACGTCATAACTACATCGGCCTCCCAACTACCAGGTGGTATTGAGAAATCGTTTTATTCGTTTTAAAATTAGTTTTCGTGCATTTAGGAGCGGAAACTGGTGTTTCTAAGGTGCTAACAAATGTAGTTCCTGGCTAAATAAAGAGCTAAAATATATTTTCCGTACCCGTTTATCGCCTCGTCAGAAATCAGCTGTGCTGCCTGCGGTCTGGGCAGTCTGTGGTGGTGGCAGTCTGTGGTCTGGGCAGCTGTGCTGCCTGCGGTCTGGGCAGTATCGCAATAGAAATATATGGCGTTAGTATCTTACTTTCGAGTATCTGTATCGAGATACATTTTAAATATGTATTTGTACCTCAGTAGTGAAATACATTTAGAATGTATCGCTTGTATCGCAATACTTTGCCAGACTTAGGTATCTCGTTATATTTTTGGCCCTTTTTAAGATAAATTTAAAGAATTAAAACATCGGTTTGGTGCAAGTTGCCTCGGAATTTATAATATGAACCTGCCCTATTACATGATGCATCCCCTAACAAAGAAAATATGGTTTAAAGAAGCTTACTTGCAAGAATAACAAAATCAGGTCCCACCACAAAGCCCTTCACTCTTTCCAATTTAGCAGAGCTAAGGGTGTTAATGAGTTGAGTTGAGAAAACGTACGTACGGCTCTGTTTAATCTCTCCACAAAATAGGTGACTAAGACTCATATAAGACGATAATTTGAGATGGCGCCCTCAAGGCAAAACAGGATTTATTTCGGGCAGACGCCTCTTGTCAAGCATGGTACGCAGTCTTCGCCGTTCTGCAACTGTGTGGTTCAACGGGGGTGACATGTTTTTTCAGCGGCATTAATGATAAATAAAGAGTTCAAGGTAATGGGTATAGTGCATAAAATGACTCAAAAAGAGGAGCACAAACATAAATTTCCATCTGCTTTCGCCACGAACTACGCCCTCCCCACGTAGCACCGTTCAAGAACAAGCGTATTTTGAGTATCTGTATCTGTATTCTGGAATACTTTTCCGCCGTTATTGCACAAGTATCAGGGATGTCCCGTTGCATAAAAGACAAATGTATCTCAGTATCTATATTTGGGCCTGCGTATTTTAGTATTTGTATTCCCGAATACTTTTTGGAGTATCTCTGCCCAGCCCTGCTGCGGACTATGTTCCGTTTCGCTTCAAGTCCGACCACAGCCGTCGCTACACTTCTATGGAACCAATCAATCATTGCTAAAAGTGCATCGTCACGGCGTCTTTGTAGGCTCCCGCATCGGCGACTAATCACTCACGCACAACGAAGGTGCCGTGACCCTACGCTTTTTTCTTGCGTGATTGTTTTGGCTGGATATAGCAAACCCAGCAAGAAAACCAGCGTCATGATCAGACTCTGTTTTTTGATTGATTGGCACCATGGTAGCGCGGACTGCCATATTGTAGCGAAGGACAGACAATGAGGAAGAAGAAAATGGGGTGAAGTAAGGATTTAATGGGGGCGAACTTGTGCCAGAAATGAAAAAGGAGAGCTCACGCCGAGAAAGCAGCAACGAGCGTCGACGTCGGCAGCAGCAAGCGACGGTTCGTCGGCGTAACAGCTGGCTATCGCGAGAAGGAATCCGTGAATGAATCGGCAATACGGCGCCCGGCTCTCTATCTACTATGCAGGTCAATCTCCTATATTCGACCTAGAATGTTCGGTGAAGAGCTAGGGCGAGACTGACTTGGCAAGGTCATTCTGGCCTCCTTATCTTTTACGCTCGGGGTGAGGGTGTCCGGGAGTCTTGTAGATGAACGGAGGAGGGTACCTTCTTGATCATGCACCAGGCAATATGACTTAAGTATAATTATGTTGGACTAGGTGGGACTCGTCGCCCACGATCGCTTGCGGTGAAAGCAACCGGCGGACTCTTCGTATACCTCCCATTGGGACTCCAATTGCAGACGGCAGCGCCAAATCTCCCCTAACGGGCGTTGGGTTTCTCCAAAAGAAATAACAAATAGACAAAACAATACACGCACCGTCGTCATGGCAACCGCTTGGTTATGGGAGAGGGTGAGAGAAGTGTGTTCCCTCCTCTCCCTCTCTCTCACCCTCGGCGACAAAAAGATGCAAGTTCGTTCGGAGTTCGGAGCAGCCTCCGAACTCCGAACGAATTTGCATCTTATTGTCGCTGATGTTGAGAGAAGAGGGAACTGCTCCCATTGCCGCCGTCTCGTTCTTCTACAATACAATGTAATCTTTTTTAGAACAAAAAAAGTGTGTTTACCTTTTTTTGCGAATGTCCGACGCTTCCGAAACAATTGCACTTGACTTTGCCTCGCTCGATTGAGATCGGCTTAGCAACAGTGCATGTTCAGTGACAGCCAGTTCTCATAAAATTGTCAATGAATGAATGCAAAGCACGCCCAGCCGCTGCTGTTTAGCGGCTTAAGATGGGCGCACATCGCCAGTCTGAGCACAAGTCCAAACTTCTTTTGCAAGTTCTCTTTTTATTAGGCGCGCTCGTTATACAAAGAAAAAAAAAAAAAAAACGTTCACTGCACAGCACAACAAAGTAACAAAATCTACACGAAACTACTATTCAAGTATTCACAGACCTGCAATCACACATTTAACTTTGCGGTAGTTAGCGACAGTGATTCGATCGCCGGGGTTTCTCGCAGGTTCCTTCTGCAGCGAGCTGCTCCACGCACGAGCTACCGAGCTGCGGTGCTCTAACACCGATACCGCCCACACCGCTCATTTTAAGATACATGCGCTGTCCCTTGTGACCCTTTACAATAACTCTTCCATAAAGAAACATGCACCAGCAAGTTTTCGGCAATCCGAAACTGTATAACCAAAAGTATAGCAGCCCGTCTTTACCTTTCGTCACTCGATCGGGAACCCAAAGAACTTGGCAGAGCTGTTGCCACTGGAATTAGAGCACCACTGAGTCGAGCAATGAACAAGGTTTCGTTTGCTCTGTGTACTGGTAGCAGAAATAGACCGATAACCAATAGGTCAACGCCACTGCCCGCTGCCGCAAACGAAAACCACCACCGTACCGCTGGCACAGGCGCCGCCGAGCAGCCGACGCATCCGCGAGCGCGGCAGCCGACGCGCAACTGTTCTCAACGGTCAAAATACAAAAAACAACCGGCCAATGAGAGCAAAGTATGAGGGCGAAACTTTAGCTAACCAAGATATTTGTTTCATCTTACCAGGATAATTTTTGAAATTTGTAAATAGCAACAATAATATGTATCTCATCCTATTAAATAAAGTTCCCGGCGTAAACCGGAAAGACTTAATAGAATACCAACGGATAAGAGATGGCGCTGAAATAGCTAACCGGAAGGCGCTCTAAGTGTCCGCCGGTTGGTAAAAGTGTGATGGAGGAAGTATGATTTGCCGCAAACTATCGCCTACAAACTAAGTACGCTGGACTAATTAAAGGGCAACTCCGCTCAATTCCAAAAAATTTAGGCTTACATGTGATTCAAATTCACAAAGCACTACTAAACAACTCTATGTCTTCAGATTCGCGAAGTGTGGAATATTATTTGTGTAATCCTAATTTAAACATCAGTAGATACCGAAACCGAAATTTCGGTTGCGTCAGGCAACATTGGTCTCGGGTCGTCAGAGTCATGGCCACGTCACGTCGAACCACGTGGTCTTGTGACGTTCGGGAGGGAGCGAGAAACAGGACACGCGACGCAGGCAGGTCTTTTTTTATTTTTTTATTGGACGTGGGCAGGTCACTTTGCATGGCGTGGACGGTGATGGCCCGGAAGGGGGGGGGGGGAGGAGGAGGGGGGGGAGGGGAGGGGTAAGGAGAGGACGAAAGAGGAGAGGGGGAGCGGAGAAACAGACCGATAAGTGCGCAGGGCAGCGCAAACTAGCGCATCCGCGTTAGAGTGATCACGTGAACGCCCGGTCAGCCAACACCGGGAGGAGAAACTCACGACGTCATCGTTCAATTTTGCTCTGAGAAGTAAAAACAAGCAAAACCTGAGAATGACGTAGTCATGCCTCTGACGTAGTGGCTCAATGTCGCCTGCTCCAGCTCCGTGGCATTTTGCGCCTCGCGCCGCACGCTAGAGTTGGCAGATTTCGGCGACTTGGCTCGCTTGAAGGTTTGCTGGCCAGTTTATTAAATATATAAACGGAATTAGATCGTAATATTTGACATGGGGTCTTCCTATATGATACTGAAGAGGGCCACATAGTTTTCTAGATATCAAAAATGAAGCGGAGTTGCCCTTTAAGTGTGACACTCTGCCGACGGTTTTCTAAGGAACTAAGTATGCTGGACAAATTATGACTTGCCGTCGACTATAGGTTCACTGGACCAAGTATCACTCGAATTGATACAGGTATTCCAGTCTGCATTCCGTCCGAAAAATATGGGGTTATCAAAACCAATTGTCACCGCTAGACTCATTGACCAGATTCTATGCTTAAGCTATGCTTCACTTCGTTCTGGGTGTATAGTATAGTACCTCATAAAATTGGTTCACAGGGCTGCAACTTTGCATGCCCTTGTTCTATATGGCTACAAGCACCACCTGCAGATATCACGCTTCAGATATCACGCTGAATATTTCTTCTGACACAACCTTACCTCCAAGACGGCACCATTTGCACAACTTAAGAACTCCGACAACTCTGGCGGAAACCCAGACAAGTCTGGCGATTCGGCTAGGGTGCCACTTCAGTAGACATCATTTCCTTTTGGCATTTTGATTGGCCGCGGTGGCACGGAATCTTCTTCCGCGCGGGAAAAATCGGTCCCGTACCGGTTGCTCTCGCCGTCGAATACTCCGTCAGCGGCGAGCCAATTTCGCTGACCAGCATCATGTTCCCCGTGGATCCGCTGCGGATCCGTAAGTGTGAACGAGCCACCACGTGGTCGACGCCACGGTGACAGGTTGATGACTGCGCTTAGCCTTTGATACACCACATGCGAAAAGAGGTGCCATGTAGCGTGCGTGTGATCAATTATCGAGTTTGCGCCACATTAAAAGGTTCCCGTAAGAGCCCTTCGCGTCTTTGATAAAGACTGTGCACTTACCTGGATAGACCGTTTCATTGGTTCAGCGACGAGTCTTGCGACATCGTTGCTAGCAATTCCTTTTCCACAATCTTGTCGCCATCTTTCTTTTCTCTTTTGTACCAAAGCTAAACAGATTCTTTGAATGCACCAATACATTGTCTTTAAATCGTGAAAACAGAGTTGAATGCCGATTTTCTGCGTCTACGAAAGCACGATTCCTCCAATATGGCGGCTTCGAATGTCATGATGATGGTAGCTTGCGGGTATTTTGCGTACGGCCAATTACGTTGGGCTTCGTGGCATTGGGCGAAGATCACATAGGCTGCCCGTCAATGAATCTCAATTGAAAATTCGCTTTCTTTTTGTGTACCACATGACTTTCATTTTTGCCGTGTACTCTCTTGTCCAGCCCCGGGAGACCGTCAACGGCGACGCACAGGTCCCGGCGAAGAAGTCCACAGGCCTATGGCAGGGTAGGCCACAGGACAACGCCTGCCCTGCCCATAGGCAGGGCAGGCGTTGGCCCTGGCTATTGGCAGGCCAACGCCTGCCCATAGCCAGAGCAGGCGTTGGCAGGGCAGGCGTTGCCAGCGCAGGCGTTGCCAGGGCAGGCGTTGGCGTCAGCCACACGGCGCACAAGCAAGGCACGCCGCCAGGGAAGGCTGAAGACGCAGCGGGCGACAAGATCAAGTGAGCCCCCCTCCGTTTCGTTCTGACTGTTGTTGCCGTCTTTAATCCTCCTGGGAATATAACTCGGCGGGGCGTATGACTCGGGGGTGCTACGAATCCGTGAACCAACCTCGCTCAATCGGCTAAAATACAAAATGTCGCAAAAAAAAAAGTTTTTTTTTTTTTTTTTTTTAATTTTGAAAATAAATTAGGCATCGCCGAACGCTCATTCTCCGGGGGCTCTATGGCATCAGAAACGGAAAACGGGCAAAGATGGGCTCAGGTTTCAGTTTTGGTTTCGAGCAGTTGAGTTTTTTGGCTTTATTAAACATATATGTGACTCTTTAGCAAAATATTCATTGGGTAGTCTCCTCGCACCATAATAAATCACCCAGCAAAAAAAAAAAAAAAAATGAAACTTGGGGGCGAGTCAGTGTCTCTTTAAGGGAAAAAATGAAAAAAGGGTATAACCCCCTCCCCCAAGGGAGTTCCACAACTGACTTGATCCTATAACGTTGTCTGCGGCATACCTCTTACACCATATAATATAATTTGTTCTTTTCCCAGCAGGATGCAAACGTTGTTTTTGGTGTTTTGCAACGGGCGCCAGCAGGAGGCAGTGGCGTCAAAGAGCCGATCTGTGATTGGAAAGATAATGGATGCACGCAAAGGCTAGCTACCTTTCTCTCTACCCACTGTCTCCTTCCAATCAGAGCGTGGTCTGCTCGTCGCTCAGGGTTGGGTGTTGGAACGCAGGACGTCGGCGTGCGGCGTTCGAAAGCCAGACCTTGCGCGGGGAGCAGACGACGTTCTTGCTCGTTGTGATTGGAGGGAGACAGGGAATAGAGACAAAGACAGTTAGCCTTTGCGTCTACCCACTATCCTTCCAATCAAAGCTCGGCGCTCTGAGGTCTTCACACGCTCTCCTCTCCTACTGTTTCTCCGTATAGCTGACGTTATGAGATTGCCTCAGTTCTGGAATTCTCGCGGAGGGGAGTATCAACTTCTTCTCCTCCTCAAGTCCGCCACCCTTCATTTGAAGCACTATTCAGTGCAGGGGTCTCAAACACGTGACCCACAGGCATCCGAGTTGTGCAAATGGCTTGCACAAGAAGAGCCTCATGTTGTCGATTCCTTCATTTCCTCTAAGTGTTGTTTCGTTTTCAGTTTTCTTCCCACCTGTTTCGTATGTTAATCTCCGGTACGACGATCTCACTACTAGGCTACAAGCACGTGTCTCTTGCTCAAGGACACACCTCGGATGCATAAACTTTTACGCAACAGGAGTAACTGTCTAATATTATGAGCTTGAGCCTCTAACCTTCGCTGCTGCATGCCCTAAGTTAAAATGATAAGTAGGTGGGCAAAAAAAAATCTGAGGTCACCTAAGCATTTCTTATTAGTTGTGAATGCGAAAGCATGTATCTGGAATTCAACGCCGCTGAGTGCTCCGGTGGCAGCGTGCCCGCTCCTCCGCGACGCGACATGGCTGAAAGCCGAGCGTAGAACACGTGAGGAGCGGGAACTTCCAGCTCCCCCTTCCCTCCCCCTCCTCCGGGCCTCCGGCTTTGCCTCCTGCCACGCCTGACACGTGACCCGAGAGGGGGGAAGAGAGGGGCTGCCAAGTGCGAACCACCCTCTCTCTCTTACGGGCAGCCGGGCCGCAGCGCCATGGAGAGGGCTTCTCTCTGGGGTGGCGTTCCTTGGAACTATGACGCACGGCAGCAAATGGGAATTTATGCCTCAATAGAGGGGAATTTAGGTGCCGTTTGGCGCGGCTTCAAAAGCTGATAACGCCCGTTCGCTCCATGAGATGGTTAGTGGTTTCGCATTAATAACACTCAACCGCGAGCCTTAATTCTTATAATGGTCCTAGAAATTGACAAAATAGCGAAAACTGTGGCATAATTTTTGTATTCTTTCTTATGACGTTGAACTCGATTCATTTACCAGTGAGGTGAACGACAGGGCAACGACGGTATATCCTCTTGGTCCATAAACCAGCACATTCTCGGAGCGGCGCCATTCTACTTTTTCTTGCCCCATCACATATTTATCAAAGAGTCACAAACTATTCAAAGCTAAATGTCACTTGCAAAATGGCGAGTTCAGAAGCAGCACTGACTATGAAGTCAATATTTTGGATATCTGGCGTACAAAGCTGCTCCGCAACCTGGACCTTCAGGGCTATATTTCTTTCCTCAAGATTTACCCCCCCCCCCCCCCCTTCCCCTACGTTGACCTTTGCTTTTCGGGTGTCAGAAGTTTGGCCGCCAAACTCCAATAAGTTTGAGACCCCTGATCTAAAGATGCTTTTCAAAACAATATTCTTCGGAGATGCTGCGGCGAAGCGCCATCTGGACGCTATTCTTCAAATCCGGTGTAACATTTACCATTATTTCAAGACACATGAGACTGGATGTGAAAAAACCTTGAAACAACTAAAAGTAGAAGACAGGGAAAGAAGTCAGCCAAACGACATCTCAAACTCAGCTAATAAGTTTACTCGGTAAATCTCTTATACACAGCCTTGAAACCTAAGTCGTCACCAGCCAACAAAACAAACGAAAAAAAACAACCTCTCTCCTATCTTTTTCACAAACTGTGCAGCCAGCTATGTACACATGTGCAAATTTATGACATACCATGACCTTGCGCGGTCACTCGAACAAAGCTGTAAACCCCCCGCCCCACCCCGCCCGGAACGACCTTGCTGGCCAAGCCCACCGAAGTTATAAGAAACGTCGGAGAACGAAAGGCACGTTACCTTTCACGCTATTTGTCATCTTCACACGGAAACCTAACGTCCTCGAAATTCTTGAACAACTACACAGACAAAATGCACGCGCACGCACACGCACGCTCACTCACGTGCACGCGCACACACACATACACACGCACGCACACACACACACACGCATACATACACACATACACACACGCACATACACACACGCACACATGCACATACACACGGCAAGAACCAAAAGAATTATAAACGCAGGAACGCCTTGGCACTGTCAACGAGGTATATGGCTCCCTGGCTTAACAGTTGCCTATTGATTTAATTCTAATGGTTTCTCTTACAACTCGTTTGACATCATTGACCTCTTTGTTTACCACTTCTGTCTCCGGCCACTGTGCCGCGAAGTTGTTGCATTCCTGTATATGTGTTGCTGTTTCAGAATTGGCCGCTTTGATTTTTATGTGTCTTTTGTGCTCAGTTTGTCTATTGTTCAAACTAGGGAGCCTTCATGTGCGCATTGCTAGGGTGATGCCACCCTTTGTAATACCACTCGCCGACAAACCAGCAGCCATTTTGGTCCTCGGCAATAATTCGTGGGCTTATAACGCTCCCGGAAACAAGCACCTTATCTCACAAGTTCGGAGCAGCGTTGTGGAACCTATGGAGGGAGGATTAGCATTTTCCCCCTCGGATGGGAGGACCGATGGACACAAAGGCCACTTTCCGGCGCACAGGAAAACAATGAGGAACAAAATGGCGGTGGACGAGGGTGTGGGAAAGGGAAACAGGCAGTTGGCATCACCCTATGCGAAGCGCACATGAAGGTACCCTACCCAGTTCAAACACCTGGAAGATGCAACAATACTTAGAAAACAAGCGAGCTGCTGATGATTCATGGTACTAAAACCCGAGACTCAGGAACACAGAAGGGGACGAACACAACACGACGTCTCGTTGTGTTGTGTTCGTCTCCTTCTGTGTTCCTAAGTCTCAGGTTTTAGTACCTGGAAGATTGCCTCAATAATATTTGTGGTTGTGTGGATATTTAGACAGCGTGTAGTTGGTGAGCCATTTCAAAGTTCCGACGAGTCACTCGCTGTAGATGAGAAATTTAGCCAGTGCAGTACAACCGCAGCCTGAGGTCTTCAAATAATAATTGGGCTGTAGGGATATTTATACAGCGTGTAGTTGGTCTGCCATTTAAAGTTGCGATGAGTCACACGCTGTAGATGAGCAATTTAGCCAGTGCAGTATAACCGCTAGCCTGGGGTCTTTAACGTGCACCACGCAGTAGTGATACACGACCGCACGCCGGTACGATGCTCATCCAGATCGAAACGGGCAGGGGTGGGGCTCGAACCCAGGATCCCTGTGTTCTGCAGCGCGAGCTTTCGCTCCACGCGCGTCGAGCTGGGTGTGCGCTTTAGCCCACTCGGCCACCGATCCCCCCGAGGTCTTTAACGTGCTCACGCAGTAGTGATACACGACCGCACGCCGGTACGATGCTCATCCAGATCGAAATGGGCAGGGGTGGGGCTCGAACCCAGGATCCCTGGGTTCTGCAGCGCAAGCTTTCGCTCCACGCGCATCGAGCTGGGTGTGCGCTTTAGCCCACTCGGCCACCGATCCCCCCGAGGTCTTTAACGTGCTCACGCAGTAGTGATACACGACCGCACGCCGGTACGATGCTCATCCAGATCGAAATGGGCAGGGGTGGGGATTACAGCCCGGATCCCTGGGTTCTGCAGCGCGAGCTTTCGCTCCACGGGCTCCGAGCTGGTGTGCGCTAGCCCACTCGGCCACCGATATCCCTAAGATTGCCCCACATACTTAAAGGGGCTATGCAACGATTTTTGTACTTTGCGCAAATACCGCTGAGGACGAATTCCTGACGCCAGTGAACTATGCAACACGCGATCGTTTTTCACCACGCGCAGTATCAGTCGCAGAAAAAGTTAAAGAAAAACTAGCAGCGTTCACCTCCTCAACTCGCAGCCAGAACAAGTGGCCACCTGATCTGGAGCCGATTATATGCCGCCAATGTTAATCGCAGCCACGCGCGTGGGTTGGCAAGCCACAGGACACGCGCTGAGTTCCAGACGTTGTATGCCTTGGCTATTGTCGTCATCGCAGTGATTGGACACGGGCCACTACCCGAATGCTTCTCGAGCTATCAATTATCACGAGCCCAAATCGAGTGCTCACGCAATGCTCGGGTCCAATCTATGAGCCGCATTCAAATATCGTCCCTGGAGGATGCTGCTACCACCAGGGT